TGGTATAATTCGCACAGAAGAGTCAATCATTAGATGCGACTGCAAGAAAATCAAATAAAAAAGAAACAGAAAAGAGAGCGCTCTTTCCTAGTAAAGTTATCATAAAAACTTATCTAACTGTGTTGTAAAACCAATCGACGCCATTGACTTATAAATCCGGAATTTACACTTGTATTTGAGATGAAAGTTTTTCGATATATTCTCATCCATACAAACATTTTTTATCGTATGGAAACTCAAAGACTTCTCTTGTGAGTCTTTGACAGTATATGTGCCTTTAAGATATCCTTTTCAATGCATCTGAAATATGATCAGTATAAAAATCTCTTCTGCTATCATTCCATTTGTTTTTTTATCTTGAAAGCTATATGCCGTCACAAGATATATTTCTCGAAGAAGAATAACATTATAATGAACATATCGATTTATCTGTCGTTGAGCTGGTGACTACTTTCCACCTTTTGCAAACGTCTTTAATCAATGTTCCCAATACAATCAACACATTTGTGTGCAGTTCTGATATTAACTTGTTAGCTTGCATTCATTTATGTATTAACTGTAGTTGAGCTCCAAGTATATTAGCTGCTATCACTATAAATTCATCGATCGATTCTAGAGTTTGTGAACGTAAGAAAGTTTCGGTCAAAGCTTGCAAACATATCAATGTGTCTTCATCAAGCATGAGAGGAAGAGCTTCAAACTAGTCTTTTTTGGATATTGCAGTGCAATGATCGTCGTTAGATGAATGAACCATGAAAACGAAGCGAAAATGATGGAAGCTAGTATCAAGATCACAATATAGACTCGAGTCGCAATGATTTTAGAGCGACACTGTAGATCATCTACTTTCTCATTAGAATTAAAAGACGATTCGAAAAGATTTATATTGAGAAGATAGTTTTTAATAGAAGCTATCACTGTAAGAAAGAAGACAAGCACGTCTACTGCCACTGGTATGTTTGATGAAATAATTAAAAGCAAATTCTATGTGACACAGAAGAAAATGCTTTCAGCTAATGAAAGTTGCTCGATTAGTTAAACAGCGGACGAGAAATGGAAGAAATCATGTTGAAACATAGCGTAACTGCTTATTGCAGTTGTATTCTATTTTCAAATGTGAACATAGTTGATCGCAATTAAGCGTGATCTTTGTCTCTCATTCATCGTTATTATGAGTTTTCCAAGTCAAGTTACGCCTCACAAAATCATACTGACGAAACAATCATGAAAAATACTTATATTTTTGTAATAATTTTCTGCTTTTCATCATTATAGAGGGAACTTCGCTCGAGATCGTTGAGAAAAGAAAGTGTAAAGCACATAAAACAGATAAAAGACGGGAAACACTTGGCCTAAGAATCGTTTCTACTTTATTGCGAATTCCAATATTTATTTAACATGTCTGTGAAATAATTCAATTTATTTCTGAAAGAAAAAAAACGCATTGTAAATTCTTCTTTCTAACGCCTTTGTAAAAATATTCGTTTTTTTTCAGCAAAAGAACACTTACAAAGATGCGTTCTATGATGAATACGCTCTCGACCAGGGTTTTATACATGATGTTTTAAGTTGAAGAATGCTTTCTGAATAAAAAGAAATATTCGTCTAATTAGCATTGCTTTTCTTAAAAGTTGCCTTAGAAAAGCTTTTTTTGTGCAAAGTCTTTTTTATTAGCAACTATACTCTCAAAATAAACTCGTTTAACTTGTTTGAGCTCGCGTTGTACATAGATAAAACTAGATGGCATAATATGCTGAATTTGACTCATGTTTGACTAGACCCTTCATTTGAAATAACTAAATTGAAAAATAAATGTCCGCAGCTGATGTAAGGATGGCGGACTCTCTCATAACACGATGATTTTTTCTTATATACGCCTAAATTCTGTATATACCTATTGATAAATAGATAAGAAAAATAAATGAGCATTTATTTCTTGGCAAGATTATAAAACAAAATATGTTTTTAAGACCAACGAAAAGAACATAGGAAATAAGCGATCATAATGTTTAATGTGATCGATTATGTTTATAGGAAGTATTGATTTTTCAAATGAAATGAAGGTTAACTATTCAAATTTTATCAAGAGACTTCAGTCGGAAATATGAAAAAAAGAATAAATCGTAAAAGTATAGTAATCAAATGGCTATCATTGGCATTGTCGAATAGACAGTCTATATTTGAAAAAGTGAAACCATATTATCGTTTATTCAAAACGAAACTTTTTTTTTTGAAATAGAGTTATTGTGAAATATCAAGATAAATTAATTCTATTTTTAGGAGAGTATTAGCTACAAGCTTATTTTGGTTTTATTCTTCGCTACTATGATTATTAAGAAAATATAAGCTACCGCATTAAAAATAATTTGAAATAAACAATATTTTCAACAATAAGGTCTTGTTGAATTTAATATATCAACATAGTTAAGAGCATTTTCATTTTCAATCTCATCTTTATATTACATGTCGATTACTTGGATATGATTCAATTTTTATTTTTTAAAAATATCTTTAAATTATGTTTCAAAAAAAAAAAGAAAGTTAACTGGTTATCTTAAACTGGTAAATGATATATTATTTGTTTTGTTTCTTTCTAAATCTCTTTCATAGGAAAATATTTTAGTACAACAAAAAAGTATTAGTATTCATATATGGAGTCTTCATTTTATCAAGCACCTCATATAATCCTAGGTATTATATATATATATAATATTCATTGGTATGTAGAGTTTGAATTTCATTCTTGTTGAATTATTTACCGTAGAGATGTAACAATATCAATGTGATATCGAGATATTGGTGGTTTACCAAGAAAAATCAAATCCAAAAATTTTGAGAGAACAATTAGTGATTGGTCTGGCTCTTGGTCACAAAAACCTTGGGTTAAACTTTACAAAAACTTGGCATTCTCATCAAATGGCCTTTTCCAATCGAAAGAAAAAACGAGAATCTATAATTGATTTCTCAATACATATGACTTTGATTTTTCTTTCTAAACTAGTAATACCATTATCAAATGCTATTGATATTGTCCCATATTTAGTTTACTAGTTAATGTCTTTTTTATATAAAAATTTTTTATGTTTCAATAAATAAAAAGATTTTTCAATATCTTCTAGTGAAAATGCATTCTTTTGCTGGTCATTCTTTTCTGTAAGAATGATTATTTATCAAAAATGAGTTAAATTTAGATTCCAAAGGATACCTCGAAGTATTTCAACAAAAAGATTATAAAAAACCGCCGTTTATTACGACAAATTCTTCGAAGAACATATTATAAATGTATTAATCGGATTATGTAATGCTTTGAGTTTATTTTTATTTATTCAAAAATAATTTTTTATGCTTAGATAGTATTCAGTCGGATGTTTATGCTAGAAAGAGGTTTATTTCATTCATCAATTAATGAAACAATATTAAACATTCTATCCTATCAGTGAGGTAATAAATATAAAACGAATAAGCCATATCACAATTCAATATATATTTTTGTAGAATCTCTTTTTTTATTTTTCAAATAATTTTCAATTGAATGGAAAACAAGAAATGACGATACTTTTGAAAAGGAAGAAAATAAACAAATGACAAAGGATGTTTCAATCATAATTTTATCACTAATATCTAATTAATAATTCATGAACGACTGACTTCAATGAGTTAAACATGAATCCTCATTTTTTTTTCTAAATACTTGATATATTTACATCTTTCTTCAATGTATAAATAATGTGCTTTGTTTCTTTATTCACAGTGAACATCAATATTGGTCAGGACACAATGTAATCTTGTGATTTTTATTCTTTTGAGTGTATACATGTGAATGCTAGTGGATATGAGTCTTCTATTCACCCACACGCACACTCATACTCAAGTTCGAAATATTTAGATATTCTGTTTATTTATTATTTAATTAACTTACATAATTATTCAATAACTTTGACTGATGTCGTGTTTGTTTTTAATAATTCGTAGATACAATATCAATTAGCTTCAAATATTTTCAAAATAGAAGTCTCATTCTGTAAACTTCTTTTTGGTCTAGATCTTTTATCGTATGACACTTTGAAGTCATATATCAATGTCAGTTATACCATTGGTTTATAATAGTTAAGTCAAAACAATTTTTAAAGGTAGATAATTCTTACATAGAATTGTTGTAGAAAGAGGATCGTACTGGTAAAAGACTTTCTTGTCTTTGATGATACACGAAAGACTATTTAATGATAAGTGCAAACAAGTTTTCTTAGACCATCTTCAAGTACACTATATACCGTCCGAGTAAGTATATTTAATAAATACTAATAAGAGAGTGGCTTTAAATATAAGTGAGTGGAATATTCATATCATTTATTGATTGTTTTTTGGTATGGTTTTATTTTAATTATAATATAGAACATTTTTTTTAAATGCTCAAAACAATGAAAAATTATTCATGAGCAATTATTAATCTATTTCATACCTTCATCTGTTTTGTCAAATGAAAACATGTATACTTCTGCTCTCTATGGCGCTGTTTTTTCTGTGCGATTCTCATTGATTAATATATTAACCGAGGATATTTTTACTTGCGTCGTGATGACTCAGATTTTTTTGGGGTGACTTCTAATCAATAAATAGATATGAATCAAATTAATAAAGTAAGTCACGCTTTTGAATTAGTGTCGTATGTGGAAGTGTATCAAAGATAGTGCTAATACTACACTTACCGTTTGTCGACGTGAGCAGGCAGAAAAAATAATCGTAAACTGAACTTTCTATGTTAAAACTCGAGAAAAACATGTTTTATAGTCATAGCAATTAAAATCGATTAAAATCAGAAAATTTGATTTTAATCAGATTTTATGTCATTTTCTTTACATGGGTAAATATTGCTTTGAGAATATCATTAGTAAGGAAAATAATCAACATCAAATGTGAACACTTAAAAATCATGCACTGTCGAAATATAAATTATTTTAGAAAAATTTGTGCTCGTGTTTGACGATTAATATTTTTAAATCATGTACATTCTGATAAGCAATGAAGGATGCGTCATTCTTGGTAGTGGTAGCCTACGACTACGAATTTCTTTCATTACTGAAGCTATAGCTCGTATTACTTTCACAGATGGAAAGCCATTTCAGCCAGGACCAAGTCTAATCGTCACAACACAGTCAACGTTTACTGATTATCATCTTGAAGAGAAACTAACAAATTTTACCATCTCTACACCAACTATTACGATCACGGTAGACAAGGAATCAGGTGGAGTTTCTTATTTTGATCAAACCGGCAATATTCTCCTGGGGGAACCAGAGCGCGGTGGAAAATGGTTGACTGCAAAGAAAGTTTATTGGACTGCTTCAAATAAAAATACATGGCTTTCAAGTCAACAAAATGTCAACTCTGAATGTGTTGCGGACACAGCTCGTGATGTTTTCGAAGCAAAGTTAGAATTTGTATTTAATGAAAACGAGGCGCTTTTCGGTCTTGGTTCACATGAAGAAGGCTACAGTAACTTACGCGGTAAATGTCGACAATTGTATCAACATAATCGAAAGATAGTAATTCCATATTTCGTTTCTACTCGTGGTTATGGTCTACTGATCGATTGCTGTTCATTGATGGTCTTTCATGATGACAGTCTCGGTTCCTATATTTGGGCTGATGTTGTTAATGAGCTCGATTATTATTTTATTTACGGAGGAAACTTTGATAATGTCACCCGTGGATATCATGAACTTACTGGTAAAGCTCCAATGTTACCGAAATGGGCGTTCGGCTACATACAATCTAAGGAACGTTACGTCAATGCCAATGAGATGATAGCCATTGCTGGTGAATATCGTCGTCGACAAATACCACTTGATCTTATTGTTCTGGATTGGCGATCGTGGAGCGGAAATTTCTGGGGTCAAAAAACCTTCGATCCTGTTCGATTTCCTGATCCCACGACGTTTATCAATACTTTACATGAGATGAATGTACATTTTATGATTTCTGTTTGGCCAACCATGTCTGGTGACTGTCCAAATCAGAAAGAAATGGAACAGCATGGTTTCATGTTAGGCGATGGCCAAACTTACAATGCATTCTTACCTGAAGCTCGCAAACTTTATTGGGACCAAGCATATAGCGGTCTCTTCGTTCATGGAGTTGACGCTTGGTGGTGTGATAGTTCTGAACCTTTTGTAGCAGACTGGTCGAATGCAGTTGAACTCGAATCACACATTCGACTGGTTGTAAACACTCAAAATTTTAAACAATACATTGATCCTAGTCTAATCAATGTTTATGCACTCTTACACGCACAGGGCGTTTATGAAGGTCAACGTCGCACTACGTCAACCAAACGTGTCCTAAATCTTACGCGCTCTGCATATGCAGGTCAGCATCGCTATGCAACAGTTCTATGGAACGGTGACATTTCTGCTACATGGGAAACATTACGCCGTTGTATACCTGAAGGTGTCAATTTCTGTGCGGCCGGAGAACCTTATTGGACGTTGGATATAGGTGCCTTTTTTATCAACTATAGTATCAACACCTGGTTTTGGCATGGTGATTATTCAGATGGATGTCGTGGAATTACTGACGGTGACGCTATTGAACCCGATCCACAAGACACTGGCTGTCGTGATCTCGGATTTTGGGAACTTTATGCACGTTGGTTTCAATATGGTTCGTTTTTGCCTATGTTTCGTACTCATGGTACTGATGCATCTCGTGAAATTTGGCGTTTTGGTGAAGCAGGAACACCATTCTACGATAATATTGCTAAATATATTCGCCTGCGTTACCAACTTCTACCATATATATACTCCTTAGCTGGTCAAGTGACACTAAATAGTTATACAATTATGCGCGCCGTAGCTATAGATTATCCAAATGATACCAAAACGTTCAATATCACAGATCAATATCTCTTCGGTTCCGCACTGATGGTATGTCCAGTGACGACACCAATGTATTATGAACGCAATTCAAAACCTATTCCAGATGCTCCAAAAACTCGTCTTGTCTATCTTCCGACTGGCAATCAATGGTATGATTTTTGGACTGAAACTGTTTATGATGGTGGACAAACAATGAATGTTGATGCTCCACTTGATACAATGCCACTTTTTGTTCGTGCTGGTTCAATCATTCCGATGACGCAAGTCATGCAATACGTAAACGAAGTTCCTAGTGCAGCTTACGAAATTCGAATTTATCGAGGTGATGATACCAACTTTACGATTTATGAAGATGCAGGTGATAAGTATGACTATGAACAAGGCTCCTTTGCCTTGATATACCTTTCATGGCTTGAAACTCTTGGTCAGCTCACAATCCATGAACGTCAAGGCTTTTTTCCTGAACTCATAGCGGAACGACAATATAATATAATATTTATTTCAAAGCAAGGTCGAGAAACAAAAACTGTTCTTTACACAGGCAAAGAGGTTCAAATATCTGCAACCCAAAATATTACTTCATAGTTGAACAGAATATTTTTTAGCGATGTTTTTCGTATTTTAAATGAACTGTTCGAAGAATAGCTGATTAAATGATGATTTTATTTTATTTCTTCTTTCTATTTTTATGTAAATCTGGCATGTAACTCGTAAGAAACCAGAACCTATTATTATATTATCAACGATCAGTACAATGCAAGCCTTTTCTTTCATCATTCTGTAACAATATTCAATTTTTGCAATAATATAATTGTGATCTCGAGTCTTCTTTACCGTTTCTTACACGAATTGTTTATGTATTAGTGTAATCTTCATTAACATGCCAACTTTTTTACATTTTATCATAATGTATCATAGAACTGTTTTGGTTTCAACTACTGTGAGAACAATGTTCAATGATTCTAGTGGAATTATTTTTTTCGTCAACCTACATCGCTCTAAGTTGGTTGAACTAAAAGAATATTTATCATGGATGTTGGTGCAACTAAAAGATATCTTGATAGATAATTTAAAGAGCATAAACATCTGGCTTGATTGTCTTTTTGTCCTACGCTATTTAGGTTGGTTACCTTTTCTGACTCGTTTTGTAAAGTATTTGTGCTTCTATCTGAAACATAGAATTTGATACAACTACACAATCATGAATTTATTATTATTATTTTCATTTTCATTGATACAACCAATAAAAATTATTATTAGTGAATCTTTCGTATAAAGTGTCATCAGTTCTAAAGAAAATAACGAATAATAACATATTAAAGAAGCTGTATTTATTATAAAAGATCAGCATGGATTTTTATTAATAATAAACTTTTGTACCCGATGATTTCCATTATCAACAACATAAAGATTTCCTTCAAAATCAAACGATAAATCTGAAGGATAATAAAGTTGATTAGATGCAGAACCAGGTCCTTTTCCTCCTGCAATAACATTACCATATGTCGCTTCATGTGTCCATTGCATTATTCGATGATTACGAGTATCAGCCACATAAACAGTACCGAAGTCATCGACAAAAACACCTTCTGGCCATGATAATTGGTTCAGATCCCCTCCTGAAGATCCACCAGCAACAATTGAGACATTCTTTGTTTGATAATCTACTTTTATTATTGTCGAATTAGCTGTATCCGATATATAAATCGATTGATTTTTATCAAGAAATACCATATATGGAAAAGTAAGATTTGAAACAATTATTTCTTGTACTGTTCCATTCATAAACCATTTTGTAAGTTGACCCTTTAACCAATCAGTTACATAAATTGATACTTCAGTATCTACAATTATTCCAATAGGATCAATATTTTCAACAATTGTTGTTCCATTTAAATCTCCTTTAAACCACATTTGAATACGTCCATTCATAGTATCAGTTATATAAATTGTTCCATTATTATCAATAAAAATATCTTGTGGATTATTTAATTGATTACTATCATTTCCCGGTTTTCCATTACCTGCAATTATTTGACCGCTGGTTTGATTAACAAACCATTGAACAATACGATTATTTCTTGAATCTGCTATATAAATGGTTTGATTATTATCAATAAACAATCCAAAAGGATAATTTAATTGATTTAATTCTGATCCTTGACCATTTCCACCAGCTACGGTTGTACCATTTGGAGACCATGTCACTTTCCCACAAATATCATTATCAGTTGATAATATTGATGACGAATCTAAACAGTCCTAATCTTAGATTATAGAAAAATTAATGAAAATTATACATAGATTCATTTCGCATTCATCTCCGCTTTATTCTTTAGATTTTCTCTTTCATCAAAAACTTAATAATTTCTCATTTGTTTAATTTTTAATCCGTGTTTAGTTAGCAAGGAAAACACAATTTCTTCAGACTACCTTCACCGTTATCCTCACATAGTCATTTAATAGTTATCACAACTTTCAATAGAATCTATTTCACGAAGATTTGTTTTTATATGAATATAATTATATTGATTTAGACAATAAATCATCAAAACCTAAAGATCAAATGTAAACAAATATCACTTATCAATGATTGAAAACAAGGCACTTTCCAAAAGTACGATTATCTCCAAAAAACATGTCGCAAAATCATATGTATAAGATTATTAATATGATGAGATTTGAGTGAATACTTGCTTTCTATCATTATCAATAAATTAAATATTAAAGAAGAAGAGCGCTCACAAAAAAATACATATAGAAGTTCTAAAAAAAAATATGCAACTTTGATTCACTTCAGATCCGAGAAACCATTGCTATTACATTTCAGATCTCCATTATATAGAGCCTTGTTGACTACAAGATAGGAGAAGCACATATTACACGTTATACGGGAAGTAATCTGTTAAGCTTTTTGCCACAAATTTCATCGAAGATGTTCGAAAGATATCAGTACAAGCAGGAAAGTGAATTGAATAAAATAAGACTACTTGCAATTTATTTTAACGTATTCAGTAACTTTATCGATATTTTCTGTCGCTATCCTATGTGTAAAACATATCGTGCGTTCTAACATGCTCTTATTATCTACAGAAAAAAACTTGTAAAAATATGCATCAAGGAATAATGTGTTTACATAAGAAAGAAAATAGATCACTTCATAGGTGGTTGCAAAAATCAGACAGAAGTGATCAGAGTTCATTTATTATTCAAGACATTCGGCAACATTCATAGTTTTCTTGGAGTAGAAATTGTTCTGAAAGTCTATGCGATTCTAACTGGTTGTCGATTTGAAGAAGCAATAGTCTTTAAGAAAATTCAAGATCCTAAAAGTTGCTGCATTCCTGTTATGCAAATTTCTACGTTTCTCTCATCCAATGAAACGATATTCAATGGTTTATTAGATAAATATAAGAATTTTATTTTATTAAATGTTTTGTATTGGTTTCCAAAATATTTATTTAACTTGTATAATGTACAAAAGATACTCATAATGTATATAATAAACATTATGAGACAACTACTTAAACTAGTGTAGCCAATTATTAAGATGGTATCTCGTGTTAATGTTTCAATCGTCACTTTTAACATCTGGATTTATCTTGTTTACATAAATATTGACATTGAAAAATATGTTATTTTAGATGAATTCTCTTCAAAAATTTTCTATTATCAAACATCAGTTAGAAAAAATCTTCGATTTCTTTGTCATACATTCTGGAAGAATATCAAAAGATTTTGATAGAAAAATTTATTTTGTGTCTGATTATGAAAAAGTGTAATGTATTCGATGTTTATTAAGTTATAAATCGTTGTTCAACAAAGTTTTCAATTGAAGAAATGATTTGTTTTCATACTTGCTGTTACTGGACAAAAATTTCTTGCTATTGCCAATGGGTACCAAACAGGAGAATGATAGCAATGTGGATGATAAACACAGATATGATCAAGTTTTTGACAAATATTCTTTTCAGTTTCACAGCCACTTAATTGAGAACAATTTAATCGAAGAAAAGCACAAACTCCACGACCATTATCAGATGCTACTTGAAAACATCCACATTTATTATTTGTTGAACATGATTCATATTGAAATGCACCAGAACATACTTGACAATTTACTTCAATAATTAAATAACTAAAATAATCGGAATGACCCGCCTTACAATGTCTTTTTCTAAGATTTATATCGTATAATCGCATATGATCAAACTGAGAAATATTCTTTCATTAGTTATCAAATTGAAGAAAGGTTTCAAAGGCAGTTAAATCATATATATGAGATATTTCTACATTTTCTTCATGAAATATATTTATCAGAACAAAATCAAACCCTAACAAACGAAATTATGCATGATTCAACTTTTAAACCAATTTTAAAAATCTAATGATTTACCTTAAAAAGACGTGAAATAAACAAAAGAGTATTATCATTCTTCTCACGTATCTTATTAGAACAGAAAGAGTCATTATCAAAGATTTTTTTTTTTCTATTAAGAATATGCAAATAGTAACACACGTATTTGAGAATATTTCAATATACAATTTTTTTTATTCGATTAGATTTTCAATTTATTTTTCGATTAGGAAAAAAATCCATCAAACTTGATCCGTCAATAATTGAAATTTGAATTAGATCAATATCAATAAAATGCTATCATTTATAAAGTTAAGTATCGAACAGAGGCAAAAAATCAAACCAACGCAAATTTTTCTATTTTATCAATATTTTACATTAAATTTTCATCAATTTTTACATTAGTACGGCGATCATAAAACACACGACCATAAACTCGACGTATTTTTTCGAGTTAAAACGATGCTGCTTGCCATTTCTTATTACTTTTCGATCATATTTGCTCATCAAGTCTTTTACTTACTATTCTTAAGACAATTGGAAAAAATGCAAAAAGACAGAAAAAAAACAAAAGAATAAAAGTCGAGTCAATGAGATGTGAGAAAACGAAAATAGGCAGAATGAAATATGAGTAATTTTGAGGTGAGGTCAGCATTCTTGGAAGTTTTCTATTTTCTTTTTGTCGAGCAAGTGTTATCGCTTCTACTATTTAAAGATTATCGAGAAACCAGTAATACTTAGTAAAACTTCGATCACAAGTATAGAAAGAAACCTTTGAAAGTGGCAGGTACAGGTATAAAAATATGATGCATCAGAAGAAAAAATGTCAGTTCAACTTTTAGTTTTTCGCACTTCTTGCTCGATATTAAAATTCATCAGTGTCTTTAAGAATGCACGGAGGAGGGAGCGTAGTGGAAATAAAATGCAAAATAGTTGTAAAATTGCTGAGAATAACTATTTTTTGTAATTTTAGTAAAATGGAAGCCAGTGCAAAGATGAACATCTATGAGAAGAGTTGTTACGTTCATTCGAAAAATACATTGATCTTATTTCATCTCTCATCAAAGCATATAAATAGTGAGATTAAATAGGTTTTTTCTTCTCTGGTACTTCTTAATATGCGAGACTCTTTCTCCATGGATTTGTTTAATTTGAGATTTGTCAAATTCATCGTCAGCTCTTGGAATTGGCATTTTGATAGGCTAGGTGAATTTCTGATTATTTTCATCGCGAGATACTGTTTTTTAAGTAATGCTAGAATGAAAAATAGCAAAAGTCAGATCCTTGAAAATTTAGATCATCTCGAATCCGAATTAGATCGTGACGGGTCCGCATGAACCAATATTGAAATACTGTTGACTCTGAAGGATTGTGAAGAACCCATCTGAATTATCCAAACTTTGTCATGCACTATTATTTACTTTTTCTCCTCGATTTAATCGTAACCTATTTTAGTACTTTCTCTGTCTAATCAAATCGTTTTTTTCGTTGCAGCATTACGATCATTTTTTTAACAACCAACATGAAGTTCGTCTCTGCATGGTTCATCATTATGACGATATCTATCCAATGGTCGTACATTGCTGGAGTGACGTTTCATGTCTTCACATACGGGGCTTTTCCGGATGATAATATCGATGATACATCTGCAGTTCAATTAGCCATTAATATGGCTATTGCTAACGGATCGAATCATGTCGTTGTGTTTCAATCTGGTACATATAATTTCACATCAGCTATTTCAATATACAATGCTATCAATTTAACAGTTACGGGTCAAGGAATGCAACAAACACTTTTAATAGGAAATTCGCCAGCAGCAATGTTCAAACCTTTAAATTGTCAAGGACTGACAATCACCTTATTGGCCATCGATTTTGATCCACTTCCATTCACTGCTGGTTATGTTATGAATGTGAATACAAGTTATCTTGATGTTCAAGTAGTATCACCACATAGAGCTGATATTGGTCGACAAGTTCACGCCATTCTTCGATATAATCCAGTAATGATGAGACCTGCCTTTGGTCCGAACACATATGAAATCTATCAGACACCACCTTCAAATGCAAATACTAGTTTAGTTTCAAATGGCATATTACGCATTCCATTGGCTTTTCCTACAAAATTTACTGTTGGAGATCCTATTGTAGCTCGCTATAGTTCTGCAAGACATGCTATTGATGCACAAGATGTAACAGATTTTAATATTCAGTCAATAACAATCTATACTGCTTGGCTTATGGGCGCAGTTACATTACGAGCTAAACGTTTGAATGTAATTGACTATCATGTCATACCACGTACTGGACGTTGGATGAGTACACCTGTAGATTGTATGCACTTTGCAGACAGTCGAAACTACATCAACATAGTTGATAGTAAATGTGAAGCACAAGGTGATGATGGATTGAATGTACATGCATTTTATTTCACTGTAGCACAAATAGTCAACACAACCGCTTTGATTATTGAAGAGTTTAATTGGCTTGATGTACTTAATGTTGGAGTTGGTACACGTTTGGAATTTAGTAGAAGTCAACAGCAATTCACTGTGTATACAACAGCGACTGTAGCTTCGTCGTCAATCAATGGTCCAACTTCACGAGTATTTGTATTCACAAGTCCTATCAATGCAAGTGTTGGAGATTGGGCTTCGGTTGCTGATACACCAACATTGACTATCAGAAATTTAACCGTCGCAAACAATCGAGCACGTGGCGTTCTTTTAAAAACACGAAATATTCATATGACACATTCATTATTCAATGGAACAAGTGGACCAGCAGTGCTATTCGAGCCATCCATGTATTGGCATGAAAGTGTTGCGGCACAAAATGTGATACTCAGTCAGAATGTCTATATCAACTGCAATCAAGGAATTGCAAAACAAAAAGGAGTGATTTCTTTTGCACCAAATCCACGTCAATTGATTCCAGTGTTCATTGACGTTGTTGTACAGTCATCGACATTTCTATTTGGATCCTATAGTGAAGGTTTGCTTCAAGGCAACAATGGAGCTAATGTATCCATCGGAGGGAATTACATAGTGACGAATAGTTCAATACCACTGATTTCGATCTGCAACAGTCAAAATATTTCTGCACACAACAATACCGTTATCAATAATCAATTTACAGTTGATCCTTATTATTATGACAGTACAAATCCTTGTCAAACAAATTTAAGTAGTATAATTGATCTGTTTCCATCAGGTTTTAATTCATCGTTTCCTCCACCAGTGATCACAACAAACTCAGGTGTTCTAGTTTACGATCATGGAGTTTATACAAATCTATTCAACTCTATGAATCTTTCTAATACTGATTCATTATTAAACATGATCGGTTGAAATTCGAACATAGTATTTTTAAAACTATTGTCATGTTCGTCGCTTTTGAACTTACTAAACACTCAACAGAACTGAGCCATGACGACATAAAAATATTTATTATCGGTTTTTCACACGTGTAATGTAGATCTTAGATGATTTTTGAGTATAGGTATGAATGCGAGTATGTGGGTTATTGATAAAGATACAGAAGCTCTCGACGTGTGTGAGCGCACATTCGGGAATTTTTTGTTCTCTATTTGAAACAATTTTCGGAAAAGATATTGTTTGAATGCAAATGTTTAGCGTTCGTTTGGTGTATACTTAAGATAAGATTCACACCAATCCACATCATCAAGAAGAAAATCATTAAAGAAGTATCTTTTATTTCAGCTCCACAGCAGTTTTCATTTTTTAGAATTTATAGTCTACTTTTTTACTTATTTTAAATAATACAACGAAAAAATGGTCAAATATCGGTAAAACTCAAGAAAAGATGTTGGTCTATGTAATTTTTCTTGAAGATTTTGAATTATTTGGCGATCATCGTACATAATTCCTATGAGTTTTATTACAAATAGTAGTAGTATTTTTTGTTTATCTTTTCTTCCTTTTACAATTGCAACAAATATCTCTTTTAAAACAACAAAAAACTAATCAAGATGAAAAAACTTCTTCAATTTGTATGCGTTTTTATATCATTTCATTTATGAATTAATTCTTTTTTTATTTTAACAGAAGAATAACTGTATGAATCGGTTGATCCTTTCGAAGCAAATATATCTTGATATTTTCTAGTGATTAAGAAAAATTTTATTGAATGTTTCGTGTTGATTATTCAAAATATAAACCAAATTCAACATATTGACATTCCATTTTGTTAAATCTGATAGAAACAACGTGAATTCAACCTCCATCAATTTTTAGTTCTTCATCTTCAATCACAAGTATTGATTCGTCTTATTATCAAGTATTGTTCTTCATAGTTTTTGTAATTAAAACAATTGTAGAAAATGAAAAATTTGATTCAATTCTAACATATTGAAAAATCTCATGGTGATCAAAGGATATCTTTCACTGAGCAAGGTAAGTAACGCGCCTGGCGATAGAAGCATTTGTGATTGATAAATATTCCTGTACTTCAACTTTTGACAAGGATGAAAGAAAAGGCGAACATTCTATAATCAGAATCAATTATGTATCCAAAACCGAAAAATCTCTTCTATTCCATTTCTGTTTTTTCGACACAATACGAAGAAATGCATAAAAAATCTATAAAAAGCCAAAGTTTTAGAAAAAACATTACTGCTGTTTGAAAACCAGTTTCTTGCACCTACGTATCTGAAATTGTTTACTGTGCATCTTTCATATGATTTTACTTTCCAGACACAGCTAGTTTAAAGTTTTTCTACAACTACAAAACTAGTTTATTGTTATTCTCAAACTCCTTCAGCATTATCATATGTAATAGGATGTTCTGAACCAAGTGTTTCCAGATTTAAGTTCTGACTTGCCACAAGATATTCAAATAGTGCATGAATTGTATGTTTTGAATGTTGTGAATAATTGAAGAGTTCGTCAAAAATCAGCAGTGTTCCTTACACAAATGTACTTGCCAACAGGGAAAAATACATCTTGAGCATTTTTATGGACATTCCAGTGGATATGAACATCTGCGACAGATGTATTGTTGAGTTGTAAAAATTCTTGTGCAAGTGGATCTATCAAAATTCTTTGACTAGGGCTACATTTGGTTGAATATGAAGCTGATCAGCATTAACGACAAATGCACCTTTGAGATGTAGATGTAAATATGATCTCTTCATGATCCGCAAGCGCACACATTCACAGGCACACACTAAGAACGACATTGACACCCTCACGGTGATTTTTGATGATATCTTTATCAGTATTTTTAAGCTTCTTTATCATAGTTCATCTTTATCATAATGTACATACCCAAGATCATGTCCTAATGAGGGAAATCTTCATGTTTTTTCGACAATATCTTCAGAAAAAGATTGAAATACGATATTACTCTGTCATGTGCACTCATATCGACCAATAATTTTTTGCATCATCTCGTTAAAGTTGTTTCTTCTGATTGTTCTCTCACTTATTTCGCTTTTAAATATTTAGTGTTTGTCGTAATATGAATCGAAACAAAAAGGATTGCCATTAAATCAATCTAATTCATCTTGATTTGATATCTTCTTAGTTTGGTCACTGCCACACCACATCTGAAGGTACCTCAATCGAACATTTATATCACACCCAAACCCCTAAGAAAATTACTATGAAGGCGTGCATATGAGTGTTGGTGCAGGTGGGTGTATAGATGGAAAAATGGAGTGCATATTCAAATTCATCTAAACTCACACATTCCATTCACAGTTACACTCAAAAAGAATTTCTCTTATTCTTTGGTCTCACTTCGATGTACATTATGGTAACCGAAAGGATGCTATCTATTCAGTTATATTTAAGACGTATTGGAAGAATATGGGATGCAAAACAGACAATCTACCAAATATTTGATCAATGATCAGAGAATGATTACAGAATAATAACAGTAATAATCAATGCAATGAAAAGAGCAACATGGAAACCTTAATAAAACGATAGAATAAAATATAATCCAAACTACTTGATATTTGCCGTTTGGTACTCGGTATAGGAATTTCAAGTTTAGAATATTCGCAAAATCCGACTACTATAGTGTTTCAGTTCAAAACTATTACGAGATAAACTGTAAACATCGTCTCGAAACTTAAAATTATGGCAGATGTTGACAAAAACGCACAGCAATAAAACAGCGATCAATGGTTGTAGGAATATCAGCAAATAAATAGTATAACTAGGGTGAACTTGAAACATCAATGTGTAAAAACGAGACGTGCGAATTAATGCATGGATCACTGCATGTGGACGAAATTCAAACAAATCCATAGACAAATTCATCAGAAGTACTTGAGATAACATAATACTAAATGTGGAGAACACATGAAATTGAACACCATTCAGCTTCGATTGATTCTCAGAATTCAATTCATTTCTAGTCCAAAAATGGAACAGCCATGAACATAAACCAGTAACTGTATCAAGTAGATTCCTCGCTTTGTATAATGTTGGAGAAATATTGTAAAGCATGAACCACCAAGCAACACCTCCAATGATGACAAATGGCAATCTAGTCACTGTAACGAGACAATGAAAGAGTAACACCATACTGACTAGTTGAAAGGGTAAATTCATTCGACGATAAATTGTAGTAATTATTTCTGCTGCCCATTCTGGTTCGGATTCTAACTTATTCTTCGATTTTTCGAAAGTTCAATATAAGCACCATCGAACAAGATGCCATCTACATAGATGCAATAGATTAAATTTAATCATTTTCTAATTTGCTTTTATAGAGAAAAGAAAATGCAGAGCTATGATCGAAAATAGCAACAAGACTTAGATTTCTTCCTTTAAGGGTAGTTTAACAATGAAAAGCGTGTTAAACAATCAATAATGTATGAGAACTTCAACTGCAATTTCGTGCATAGATTAATCATAATGTCAGTGGTGAAAATAAAAAATCGAACCATTTGATATCAAGATAAACTAAGACATTTACGTAGAAATCCTCTTGAAATCACCATAAACAGTAGCAGACATGTCAGTCTTCATCTGCGACGCAGAGTTGGGATCAGTTTTCCATGTATATTCATGTACACTTATTACTAAGCGTGTTTCACAAAATATTATAAATAATTAGTCATACTTGATCTTTTTGATTTAAAACAGAAGGCATATTGAATTTTTTAGTGAGATTGGGCACTATGTTTCGAATCATATACTCAAAATTGAAAACAGAAATTTATCATCGATTACAAGATACAAAAGTCGAACTGAGTATTTAACAAAGCTAAAGAAAGCAGTCTTGCGTAGCACCAAGCAAGGTACAGATTAAATATAAAAATGTTTCCATTGAATACATCATATCTTTTACGTGCCAAAGATTGAAATATACTCTAAATTAGGTTTGCCAGCATCTTTAGATTATCGTCTAAAAATGGTGAGCACATTTTATTCTAGTCCTCCGAAAACCTTTAAAACAAGATTTAGAAACGAAATTAAATTAAAAAGAAATTTTTTTGCGTTTTTTCACTTCCACATCTGGTTTACTTACTTTTTACCTGGCTATTTTATACCTAAAAACAATTCGCTACGATTGAACACATGTATAATACAGGAATTAGATTAGGCTATAGTCTATAAGGTTTTGAGGACTTAAATAATTTAGCTTTGAGCAGAGAGTTTTTAAAAAAGGACTACCTGAATGAATACTAGATAAAATTATTCAAACGCTGAGAAGAATCTTGTGCAGCTGTTGCTTACCAACAAACTAGGTTTGCCTTTATAATTGTGATACTTCCTAATAAAACATTTTATAAATGTATGAGGTTTAGGAGAAACAGAAAAGTCATAAACAGACTTGCTGAAGAAGAACTTCACTCGGGATTGATATCCTTACTTTCATCAATGTACATAGGACGCAGCTTGGGATTTTCAACATATGTTCTGCTATACTAATAACTTTTATGTTAAAATATTTTCCTGCGTGCAAGGTAAAAAAAACTTTCAGGTCTCAGAAATAAAGAAATGTAACTTTGAAAATAAAATAAAACAAAAGTGCACGGAAAAAGTAAAACTTTGTCAAATTATCAGCAAATAACCTTTCTTTACCCATCTCTTCTCTTTTTTTCTTTCTTCAACTCGTTAAGCACGAATAAAAGTTTACTATGTTCTATGTTTTCTGTATATAAAATGTTTTATCTTCTTTCTTATCAATTTTTTCTGTACAGCAGACTTTTTGATGTATTAATTGTTAACTCTTTATGTTAGAAACAATAAATTTACATGTTCATAAAAAAAAGCAGTTTCACGAGTATGACATTGAATACCATGTGCCTATAAGTCGTTGTGACGTATTTGTATGATTCTGCATGAAAAATGACAAGAAACAATACAGATGAGGTGACACGAGCACAGGTACCTGTTAGGGTAAATATATAAGAATTACTTTCATGTTTGTCAAGCACACATGTCGTAACTAGCAACAGGCACATGCTTGGTGAGTTGAGTAATTGATATTGAATAGTATACATTCTTAGATCTCAGGTGCATATTAATGTTATTGATCCAAGTGCAATTGTCATCAGAATAGTAGCATCTGTTCTATAATCATTAATTTCATTATTAGACGATTTGTGAACATGTATTTAATGTTGTGGGTGTGAGTGTGAGATTATCAGTAGTAGCAAGAGCCATTCACACTCTTCCAGCGATTTACTGCGGTAAATGAGGCTAGTAACCGGATCGGAAAAACCATGGTTAATCGCCGGATTTTTAACAGTTTTTAACGCGTGCGGAGGCACGATTTTTACTGATGTTTTTGATGTTCGACTAACGATGTTATTTGTTTGAATGTATATCAAACCTTCAACACTTCTCGACATCGTTTGTTTGTAATTATCCTTACAAACTGCCAACATCATTAGTTCTATCAACAACTTCTATCAAGATTTCACTAGATTTCACTTGCAGTGGTTTAGTACCTGAAATTTCACAGTGAATGCCCAATATATGTCAATTCAAAGTGGACTGTGATCTTGGATTTAATAGAAAGACATAGGAACAATTGATTTCTAATCATTTGTTAAAGCATGAAAATATTCAATCTTAGAGCGAGACAGGCTTGATAAGCGTTGATATAACTGAAGAACAAGTCGATCAATTACTTAATACTTGCCGAAGTTCATTCGAGCTTGATGAACATGGCTGTTTGGTTCGATGTAGTTGGAACCCATTGGAAGAAATTTCCACTATCTATGCTTTGAACAATTTTTACAACACGGTTTCATTGCTGAGAAAATTCACCTATTCTCAAGAAATAAACTAATAGTCATATGATTGTGTACGTATATTACTATATGACGTTGAACATTTAATAGGTCCCGAAGTATCTGGTATTCAATTTTGCAAACTAAAAAAGTCTCAACATAAAATTTCCTATCACTAACTACTTCTGGACAATCGTTCTAACCGTTGATCATTTGACGTAACCCCATGTAAGAACATATGATAGTAGTGAAGAATGTACAAATCGATTTGACCTTTTACTTTCTTATGCATCATGTCTATCGTTATTAGGTACTTAGAAGACTTCCAGTGTCGGTCTTCTAGAAAAGTATTCATTAGAAACCAAGAATGTATTGATAAAACGGCTTGATGTGCAAGCCTTTTGCGAATGATATAATGAGGAGCGATGTGTAAGATATAACTCTTAACCTCTTGCTATGCAATGTGAAGAACTTGACATTATTATAAAACATCGAACATCAATATATTATTTGGTTAAAATAATACACAATCTACGATTTATGAATGTTGAATGTTTAGAGAAGACGTAAGAGGAAAATTCAACAGAAGACGAATTTGCCGATTGATCACAAAAGTAATTGTCAGATGTGCAGCTAATGGTTAAAAATTCGCATTGGCGTAGTAGTCTTCGATTGGCGGTCCATTAAAAAAGGCGGTACTTGATAATATTGAGAGAAAAAGCTATGAATTTCTTTTGTTCTTGTTAAAGTCCAGAACTTACTTGTCAACATGCTCGAGATAGAGTTATTTTTCCCATTGTTTATAATAAAAATTTTCACGTTGTCCCAAATAAACTACTAGAAGAGGCATAAAATAAGCAAGAAGAGGGTGTAGGTATGGGTATAAATGTATTTGTTGCGAGTGTTCTCTTGACTAACCTTCACATCTGTTATATAGACACCATCTGCACTCCTTTTAATCATTTATTATTTTTTTCTTGTGTAAGATCTGATCAATATCGAAAACAATCTCGTATTAGTTGGACTTGATACCATTTTATTATTGATGTATTGTCATAAGTGTGATATTTCGTCCATAGGTCATAAAAATCTGTTAAATACGAACAGCAACCAAGTGGTTTTATGACCTATCGTACTTTTTCTCTTTGTTCCATCCTTCTGTTTTTCATATAACGTACTTATTTGTTTCTCTCACTCTTTGTATTTTTCTCATCAATATAAGCGTGGATATGAATAAATAGTGTGAATCTAGTTGTTTCTCAATCATAGAAGGGAGGGCGAAGTCAAGTCATATCAAAGATTAGTGATCGAACGGAAAGAATAATTTTTTTTTTTGATAAAACAATATCTAGGTCTTGGTATCACATCGTGTTCTTTTTTATCTGAATTGGATTTGTGGGAGAGTCCACCACATGACAGTATTTGGTGTTTTATGTTAACTCTTACACACACACACATATATATATATATATGCGTATGTTCTGTTAAAGTATAGGTATTGCGAAGCGTCTTTTCTGCTTCTGAGCATTGATAGAAAATCCGAGCCTTATTTTGATTTTATGCAGAGCTTTTTATGATACTGTAGAATGTCCTGCATAGAGCCGACAGAAGACTCTCATTGTCTATCAGATCCTCAATTTTTTAAACTTTTAAAGAGTATGTATAAATATATGTTAAACGATAAGTTTATTTTTCTAGGCATATCAACAACATGTTGTTAATTATTTTTTCTCTTATCTGTCTCAGTCAATCATTATTCGCTGTTGAATTGTTCATCTACAAAAGTTTTACTGAAGTTCGTCAAGTTTCCAATGGAGTCGGTGAATACTCGTATCAATTTACAAATGCTGATTATGGCAATGTTATTGATGGATCGATCAGTTGGGAAGGTACACCATTAGCTCGCCAAGAAGTCTACAATACAGTTCAATCACTCCAAGATGCCAAAGTAACAGTACGAAGATCTACAGTGTGCGCATGTGAAACGATTGAAGCGAAAATTGTTGATCCCCAGTCAATGCTCCTCCAAAATTTGAAAACAGGAGCATATTTTTATGCTGATAAAGATTCAATTGAATATACATCAGTGCGACCAAACGAAGGTTCAACAACATTATCACTTCAATTTCAAACTGGAACAACAGAACGCAAAGGAACATTGTCCTATTTAATGAGAGGAATCACATGGACACCTAGTTATGACCTGTTATTGACAGGCAACAATGGTAGATAGACTCTTTTCTCTTTTCAATTTAAAATTTCTTCTATTGAATATGTCACTCTATTTTAGATTACAAACTTCGTGCCTATGCAAATATTAAGAATGGTCAACAACGAGACTATACAGTAGACATGACTCATCTCTTAGGTGGTGATGTGCAATTAGCTACCGATTCTCCAAGACCTATTCATCATGGATTTGAGGTTGATAGATTGCCTATGAATTTGAAACCAATTCAACCTACTGGTGAACAAAGTGGTCTGTATTCGTATATACTGAATGACAAATATACACTTCGTCCAATGAGTTCCATTCGTTTACCATTCATTGATATTGCTGCCAAATATCAATTCTATTACAAAACATTGACAAGCATCAACACAGGAATGTATCAAGGTACCTTTGCAAGAACTTATGATATCACACCTGATCATTTCATGCCCGCTGGTATTATCACTGTTCGTGACAACCAAGTACTTGTTGGTCAAGCTAGTTTGCCAGATGTTCCAGAAAATTACACACAAACGTTTACTGTTGGTCAAGATAATGATGTTCGCTATTTGATAAAAGGCAATCTAACATCCAAGACTGATGACAATGCAACAGTAGCATTGGAGACATATGAAGTAGATGTCCAAGTTAGAAACTTTAAGAACAAAAATGTCAACACTCAACTTGTTCTCCAAGGAGGTGTTCAAATAATGCTTCTTGATACAACATGTCAGACTGCTAATGTCCAAGGAAACCAACTCACCATACCAGTCCAACTCGAACAAGGCGAGAATCGTCAATGCAAGTTTCATGTTACAGTGAGATTGAATTAAATACATCGGTGAACAGGTTCAAAAACATTAGGACATTTGAGAAATGCAGTAATTATTTGTTTGACTAAATAATTAATTCAATTAAATAAAATCATATGTGAAAGACTGCAATTAACAAGCCAGTTGCTAAACTTTTCAGTATTTTCACTACTAGACTAGAACAGAAAAATGATGAGCAATCCGATTTTGAAAAAAATTTCTTTTCTTTTTTATAAATCAAAATTAGTATTACAAAAATTTTGCGACGAAAAATAGATGCTCTTTTTGAAATTTGCTTTGGTTTTGTCATCAACTTCTCTTATTTACTTAACTGCTTCGTTATTTGCATAAACATCATTCGAGAGTAAGAATAATCTATGTAAGTTCTTTTCTCCAAATGTCGTCATTTAGTGAATAATAATGCTTGAAGTTCATTCACTACGATCATTCCTACACACTTTGAGATATTCATAATTTAGTCCAACCTTTTGTTTGTTATTCTATTTGTTATCAATAGTATTATGTGTGAATTTGATTTGATTTTATCCTTCAAGTAGGATATTTCTTGATCAAAGACCTAGATGCAATAAATTTAACTAAGCGATAGCCGAGCAATCATTTAAACACATATCGATTAATACAAAATGATTACTCAAAAGTAAATCTAGCTTGCTATCGAACATTTTTATAATGTGTTTTAATGTTTGCTGTAGGCAAATAAATATAATGTGCTTCTTATTGAAGAAATATAGCTAGTTTTCGGAACTTTTTGAAACGCCTGATATGTCTCCATGATGATTTTTGGCATGAATTGTTAATATCATCTTATGTTTTTGAAAATTTTGGTTCTTTGTGGTTATTATACTTGCCGAGTCCTGATGGGTGTTTTTCTTAATACAGAACATCAGGCACACTAGTGAGTTAACAAGGTAATATAAATAATTGCCAGCGAATATATATTGATTTTCTAGGGTTTCTTTTATGAATGGTGATACTAGAGAAACAAGTGTTGAGATCTACAGATTGAGCTGTAGTCACTAGAGACTGAGCTCATTTGTGGTATACACTCTCACATTCACAATAGCTAAGAGCCTGAAATCAATGTTACTACGAATATTATATGTTCCATATTTCATTGTCGTACAAATAATTTATTTCTTAATTATCATATAAGATAAGACAGCGCGCTTCAATACTTTTCTGTTCCACATTTGAATCAGGTACATGTTCATTGACAAAAGCTGTGTGAAAGCAAAATTGAGCAACATTTGGATTACTATCAAAAACTTTTATAAGAAACATCTCGTTAGATCGCATATCGCTTAGATACAACCACCTTTGTGTGTCTTGTTTATTTCGAGATATCGTATAAGCCGAGAGAGCATTTACAGATCCTCGAACTTCAAGCGGATGGACATCATTGTGTATATCAAGAGACGAATAGTCGCAAACAGCTAATGGTTTGTTTCTTATAACATTAGGACCCAATGGACGCCAGATGTTTATTATTTGAAAACGATTCTGAATTGCTTTTTTAGCTTCTTCTGTGCCAAGTATCTGCTCCATTTTCCATCTAGCCCCATGTGGATCAAGATCAACATGTGGATACAAGACAGGATTCTTGTGATTTATATCGCACTGATCATCGGGACGTGGTGGACCGCGAGAACGAAAGAGATGATTAAATATAATCACACGTGAAGCGCCAAGACGATTTTTGAGAAAAGAAATAAGCTCATCATAGTAAATTTGTTGTGCTTCACTGTCGTTGTCAAATTCATCATTGATTTCACCTTCGTATTTGCACACCTCAATGGCATTGATGTCAATATTTACACTTGTTTCCTTGCCTCGCAAATCATGAATGGTCAGACGCGTCGGTAACTTTGCAAAATTCGATGTTGCCCAAGTCGATGTAGCACTCACATCGACCCATGGAGGACATCCATCAGTCGTATGAGTTAAAAAATTTATTTCACCAAGCACATCCTGACCCATCGTAAGTACAAAACAAACTGAATGAGAGAGAATATGACTCTGAAGCAAATGAAATGATTTAAAGTTGATGAGAATGATTAAAGTGTAATTCTTCTTTGCTCTTCCTTATCTTTTCTAATGTAAAAAAAAAACATTGTCACTGTTGGTACAGCGAGCGACGTGCTGAATTATATTAGCTAGCCTGTTATTGTCCTTGTTTCAATTCATAGCTTTAAAGGAAAGTTGCATTGTCACCTTTACAAAATTATGGTTAGATAAGAAAGAACAATGCTTTTTATCAGTTTATCTGTCTTCTATCCGCAAGGCTTCAAAAGAAAAATCAGAAAGCAAAAACAATGCGATTTATTTCTGACGAGATAATTACTCGGACTGATACCTGACATTTGAATTCATATTAAGTTCACAAGAAGGCTCGCTAAGATTAGAAAATCCTAAAATGACCAGTGTCCATAAGTCTTTGTACCCAAGTTATAATCGTTTCACTGAACTTTCGATCCAGCTTTAGGCATTCATCGAAAAATGAATAATGAAATTTTAGCCTGAAATTTTATCCATATATAGTTCTAATGACTTTGGGAACAAGATATTGAATTTCCAAAAACTCGTCGTTTGACTCAGGTATACCACAAAAATCGAGTTTAGTTGAAAATTCAATACTCCAACAAAAGAAAATTCTTTTCGGTTGAGACTTTAAGGATATTTTCTGAGCCATCAGACATTTCCATGGGAAAAGTTTGAGATCAAAATACTACTATTGGACTTTTGACTACATATCTAAAGCTATATTAAAAATTCAATAAAACGGTCAGAACTCAGCTCTAGAGCCCCACAAGCACGACTCATTTTAGAATTTGTCTATTCTTATTAAGATATTCTTGTGAACTCCATAGGAGCTCAAACGGCGAATACCAGTACGGGTAATTCCCTCGTGAGCTCTATGTACACAATAATGCAAAATAAAGCTAGTTTAAATACAATGAAGTTGAGTGCAAACGAACCAATCTTCGTTTTTCGTCACAAGAATACCGTCAGACAAGATAGTGAATCAGCCATCCTCTTAGAGGTTACTTTTAATAGACTAGCAAGATAGAGTATGAAATGTTGCACGGTTTTATGTATTTATTTTGTTTTTTGTCGAATGCAAAAAGAAAGCTTTCGAGAACTAACTAGTGTTTATAAGGTCTATCACTTTTAAACGTTACGAATAATAACTATGGTATCTGTAATTTTTCTATTACAAACCAAATATAAAAATCAATAGTGTAGATCGATGCAGTTTTTCATGCTCTACAAATAGACATAGTGATCATGCTTACCAATAGCTTCTGTCTTAGATTATGCAGTGTCATACAGGTGCGATAGATAATACTATCCTCATATTAAATAGAAAAATTTTTATACCTTTGTAGGATATTATTGTATTTAAAAACTAAATTAGTACTAAAGATCTTTATAATTAAAACGCTGTAAGAAAGTGACTATTTCATTAGTATCATACAAGTTAATGTCAACAGTTTTCCATTTAATCCGGATTTAATTTCAAGTTCAGAGCAAAATGAATATCATATTCAGAATCAGCACAAATAAAATTTTATGCCATATACATTTCAGCAAGATTAAATTTCTATGGGAAGAATCGATGTGGTACCCCTTAGTAAGTTTCTTCTCAGGTTTCATTTGCTGTCCCTTGGGATAAATTTATCGTAAAAAGTAATTTTTGTTGAAATGAATATGGTAAACGGTATGTTTTTATGCCAATTTCGAATATGATATCCATCTTTCTTTGAACTTGAAATTAGATTAAGATTCAATAGGAAAATCGTTGAAATGCACTTTTATAGTTCTTATAAAATGCTCAGTTTCTTACAATACTTTAATTATAAAAACTTTTAGTACTAATTTGCTTTTTTGAATATAATAACATCCTACAAAAGTATGAAAATTTTTCTATGTGATATGATAATAGAATCAATCATACTTGTCTAATCTTGCATAAACTGATCGATACATATGATCGATATGTCGTTTGGTAGAGCACGACGAATTGCGTCGAACTACACTATTAGTTTTCACATTGAATTTCCAAAAGCAAATATTATGAGTACTGTACTTAGTATCTAAAACGCTCAAAACTGCTGAACTGCTGAGAATATTTAGTCCACGAAATTTTTTATCTGCATTCATTGGTACGATTTCTAATGAATACAGAAAAAATATTTACTGATTGAAACTATAGTAGAAAATAGAAGAATTCTTCAAGATAATTGTTTACAAATGTGACAGATTATTAGATGGAAAGAAAATGTATATATCGAACTTCAAATATCTTGTTATTAAAAAGTTATTATCAACACTAATGTTATGCAGTGTCGGGAATAAAATGAGATAGGTCACACATCAATAAAATCGGAACTAGAAAATGCAAAAATAACATACAGGCACAGAATAAATAAAATTTATTTACATTGAGATGAAAATATCTTATTTCTCGCGATAGAATAAATATCACAACTCATCTGTAGATTATCAATACTCATTCCTATTCGTTATAATGTTTATCTTGATTAAAACTTTTTATTGGAATTATATGTATTATTGTTTGATATTGTTGAGTTCAATATACAATTGTTTCTCTTTCACTAATTCTACATTGATCAGTTGTCAATAGTGTCATTGAACGTTGGCAACCTTGTACTATTGGACATGCCACTGTTAAGTACTGAAATCGAATTTTATTTGAAGGTGTATATAATTCTACTCGCTTAATAAACTCACAAACAAAATTTCATTTTTAATAACCATTTAGTTGACTGCTAATGAACTATGATACCCCAAATTAATATTATATTTGTCAAGAAAATAAACATAGACAGTATCGTTCGTGATAAACATTATTAGAACTATCAACAATATCTGCAAATATATGTTGTGTTGCTGATGCATCAAAATCATGTATACGATTATTTTCTTATATTTTCTGTATGATCAGATTTAATTCATATCGTTCGAAGGATTTTCGATAGAAAGAATTTTTGTTCCCAGTCAGCAGTAGTACATCGACAAGAAAACAAATAAAATAGAGAATATTAGAAAAAAAATGAGTTGAATTATCATCACGACCTATATCATGTTGAAGCTGTCCAATTAGGAAATGAGGCTACACTAAATGATGCATAAAAACAGCAATATGACATTGTATAGTACGACACCTTAGCTAGAATTCGATTATCAGCTTTAAAAAAAAGAATGAAAAGATAAGTCTAGAAATATCAAAATAATCAATATATGTATATCGAAAAATTTTCATTGAAAATTTTTTCATCATATTTCGGTTTCATACAGTGAAACAAAAAGCGATATTCTTGCTATAAAATTCATGACAATAGATGTCATATTCAACTATAATTTACGAGCTAGGATGGTCTAATATTATTTAAGAACACAATACTTCATATTTTCTCAGAATATTTGCTATTGAAAAAGATGCAACATGTCAATCTTAGAAATTCAAGATAGTGTTGTGATTAATTTAAAATTTTAGGTGCTATACGAATCCAAAAAGGTTATCTTGAATTATAGGCTGCTTCGGTTCAGGAATAATATGGTTGTATACCATCTTTTCGTACTTCCTGCACTCATAGGTTGACTCACGCCCCTTATTTACTTTTTCTTAAAGATTTTGAATTATATGATCAGAATTGTAAAAAATGTCCAATGAGTATCATAATGAACGTTAATAGTGTTTTACTTTTATCTCTTCTTGATATTATAATCATAACAATTATCTTTTTACAACGACAAATAACCAGTCAAGATAAAAACATTTTTTTAAATAACATGTTTTTATATTATTTCATTTATTAATGAATTCTTCTTTTTCTTTGTAGAAAAACTACCATATGAGTTACTTGATCGTCTCACAAGAGAAAAGAATATCTTCATATTTTTTAGTAATAAGAAAAATCTTGTTAAAGAAATTTCCGCATTGATTGTTCGAAATATAAACTTGCTTTAACATTGACATTCGGTTGTGTTCAATATGATGAAACAACTTTATCAAATCTCTACCAATTCTTACTCGTTCATCTCTAATGACTAGTTTTTATTCATCTAATTGTCAAAAATTGCTCTTCGTTGTTTTCATTCATCACCTACTAAAAAAAAAGATAATGCTGATGAATTCAAAACAAGTATTCATCCTATGTCTGTAGCAATAAATTGTTCGTCATAAACAAACGCATTATTTATTTAATGTAGATCTTTGTCGAAATCGATGTAATCAATAACGTGAACTCAAACAACATTACTTTGGTTACCTATTCAACAACGTTTAGTTGAGTTAACATCAAAACGAGAACAAAACCACTACTGAATAATCATCATCAAAGACAGTAATAAACTGGAACTGATTATACAAGGCGTTCCAAATGTTTGTGCGAAAAAAGTGTAAATAAATTTTCAACAGTTCAAGCGATTTATGTAAACTTTTCAAGATTTCATTCGATGTTCCTTCAAGTTTCATTTCATATTATTTTATTCAAAGTAGCTGTTCAAAACGATTTTACGAAACTACAATACGCAAATCTACTATTTTTATATGGTTTCCTTTTAAACGGTAGCAGATTTTACTACGTAAAGCACTATTTTTACTCAAAATACAACTGTGAATATATATTTTGGCTTGCCTGTAAAAACAACTCATTTTTCGATTAAAAAACACATTTAAACGGCGCTTTTAGGTACCATTTAAAATGGAAAGACGAGTTTTAGATAAAAAACGAAACGTTTGAATAGGTTGCAATAAAAAGAACAGTGCGTTCAACACACAAAAATAGCGTTTTCTTTCTGAAAGTTGGCGTTGGAACGCTGTTTAATACAGAATTTTTTTATGGATAACGTCATTCTTGTAGAAAATATATATCTTTGGCAACCATCGTACCGAAAACAATAGATCGATAATAGACACACACGTATAAACTAGTAAAATTTATCAGGAAGAG